AAACTAAGGCTTCGCCTGTGCTCTTTCCATTTAAAATTAGAAGCAACCACTGCATTTTAATCACGATCCAAACAAAGATGCTGCACACATGCAGCATGAGCAGATTTTGATTTAAATTAGATTGTATAATTTCAAACCTGAAGCAAAAACAGAGTGGTCTGACTTTAGCTTTGTGAAACTATATTACACAAAACAAAAACAGCAGACGAGCTGAATGAGACGCAGATTCACTCTCTGCCAGCAGGTGGCGCTCATGGAACATCAGCAATACGGCATTTCCTTGGTTGTCGCTGTAAACAAAGCAGCGCTGCGCTTATAAACACTACTTTACTATGCATTGTACAGAGGCAAGTGTAGTAAAATACCATCTAAACTTCTAAAGTCAGTTCTCCTCAGAGATACATTCATATAAACCCCACCCCCAATTGTATTGCAATTCGTTTAACATAAATCATCACATATTTTTATCGATTTTCAACTGGCTCGCGGTGCTTCATTACATCCCTACTTTCTATTTAAAAATGTCATTCATTCAATGTGTTATTTGCCATTTCTTTGTAATTATTCGTGAAATTTACTAGCAATTCCTGAGTGAAAATTCAAGTTTTAGAACGACATGAGTTTGAGTTAATGATGCCAGAATGTTCATCGTTAACTCTTTAATTATTGTTAACAACAAAGCAGACTCAGTTAATGCAGTGTGCAATTCAACTCAAAACGCCCACGACATGTAGTCAGAGCGCACGCAGTCCATCATCTCTGCCTGTCCGTACGGGACGGATTAGCAGCGATCAGTCAGCTCATTCCTACTGCATGTTTGGGCAATTATCACCCCACGTAACAAGGGAGGTCATGACGAGCCTGCAATACCCTGCTAAACCACGAGCGTGAGTCATATTACAGCAGCAATCTCAACTCACAACGGTCACGGAAACAGAAGACGAGATGCTGCTTTGAGAGGTCGTTTTCACGGCCCTACATGAGTCTAAGACTAAGCCGTTTGAACAAATAGGCTGCATGCAAATAATATGTTTGTTGCTGCATGCAACCAATGAGGATCATGCAATGGAAGGTTGTTGAGTCATTCATTTATTTCTCTCTCTCATTGCATTCTATTCAAACTGCAAGCACAACTCAACTAAAGCATGAGCTTTTGTGCCGTAACACCAGAAACATACTCACTGAATCAACATATTAATGCAGATGTTCATCAACTGTTAACAAATCAAATCATAAATCATTTGGTTTCAGT